AAAAAAAGAAGATTACACAACTTCCACTTCTCCCAGGCTTCCAGCTCCTCTGCATCCAGGCTGCAGCTCCCGGCAGCCAATTCAACATCAGAACTTGTTACAACCTGAGGTTAAATTTCAAGTTGTTCTTAAAAACGGGGTCACCTCTCCGCCCCGCTCCCTCCCGTTGCCCTTCTTTCCTGCTGTCACTTGAACGGGCAGCTCAACGCGCACGTTCGCTCACTGTCCAACGCGGCCTTCGCTGAGGAAACGCGCGGCCTCCTCGACCAGCGTCTTCCTCTCAGCCCAACTTGAGCGACCCGGTGTTTCCGTGACCCGGCGCGCTCCAAAAAAGATGCCGCCTACGCTCCGGTTTCTTAGTGTCTCTCCAAAATCACGGTGCTGTTGAGGAGGTGACGGAAGTCAAACCAACTATGGAGCTACTCGACCACCTCTGCTTTACTAAAGACTTCATTCACGTACGACACAAACCAAAAATGTTCAGAGGCAAGAAATTCTCTTCAAAGAGCTATTCCAGAGTTAAAAAATCCGTGTTAATTCCCTAGATAACAACACTGCAGCATGCAACTGGTTTAGTGAGGCAAGAAGGCTCCAGGTGGTTTCCAAGCCCTACCTCTTTAAAGTCAACCACCGTGTAAAAAGCCCCAGATAATCTCAAGTTAGCAAGGCTTATAAAAACATCTTCTTCGAGCACATCCTTTGTTAAATCATCCCATTTTAAACACATCAGTACTTGAAAAAAATCCACCTTTGTGAGTTGGCCCAGCACCTAACGACCCTCCGTGCTAAAATAAATCCCTAGTGCTAGTGGGAATCCATCTCGCCCCATCTCCTTACTGCTCGAGGTCAGCATTCCGTGCCTGTTAAACTGCAGCAGCCCATTACCAAGTATTTCATACGTAGGTATTTACTAACTGGAATTAAATCCCTCCTCAACTGTTAAGTTAAACAGCTTGAGCTCCTACAAAACCTTGCTGTCTGTTTTTTCCAGTCCCTCCCTCACTCCCATAGCTCTTCCCTGAGCCTTCTCCAGCCTTTAACGGTCTCTCCTGAACTGGATCGCTTCCCAGCACCAGGAACACTAACGCCGGGACAAGGGAGACGTGTTTTCACAGCGTGACCACCTCTGATCAAACCCCTGCCTCCAGCCACGCACCAGCTGTGAACGGCTGTACGTGTAACGTCCCAGGACTTCCCCAGCTTTCACTCACTTTTTCCACTTGCTTTTTCCTTTCCTCCTCGAGCTGCTTGGATTTCACCCCAAGTAACAGATGAGGTGTCAACCCGTGACCACAGAGCAAGGCCAGGAGCTCGCTGGCCAAGCCTCAGCGATCTTCGTTCGCAACTGCAACGTCAGCCAACATCTCTAACCCACTCGAGTTCCTCTGTTTCTTTGGTGTTACTCCCGGCTTACGTTTAAATGCCGTGAAGATACCAAGAGTCAACCCTTGGGCCGACAGTTGGCCCTTCCCAAGGGCTGGTTCCTCAGGGAGCCATCCGTCGTGTCCGACAGCACCCTCCTTCCTCCAACAAGGGGGTTACGCGCTGCCTGTTGCCCTCCACCCCCAGCGCACGCGGCCAAGGGCTCCTCTTCCACAGCCCTCCCGTCTCTGCAGGGCCCGTTTCTAGGACGAAAATGGACCCTTCAAGATCCGGAGGAAGGTCTCTCCGTCCCAAAGCAGGGACACGAGGCAAAAGCGACTTGGGCAGCGCTCTCCTCTCGGCCCTTTCTGGACTGCTTTGCCTTCCTCAAAGCCGAGGGGAGGCCGCGTCGAAGCGTGGCTGAGGTGGAAGCAGGACGTTACCACAACCGTAACTAACCGGGCGAGGCCGAGGGGGACGGGGACGGTGAAGAAGTCCCCCGTGGTACAAGCTGCAGCACATCTTGTCCGGGCGAGCTACGAGCTTCTGTCCAAGTCCTTCCTGAGAAGCGACTGCCCTGACCACGCGGGGAGAGCCCGCAGCTGCTGCGGCCAAACCCCCTCGGAGGAGAAGGCGGCCACAAGGCCCGGCCCAGGGCCGCTGAGGATGAAATGGCGGAAAGCGAAGCGAAGGCCATCAAGCGTTTCCGGAGCGGGGTGGGATACGGCAACCCTGGGAGGCTCCAGGCTCCAGTTCACTTGCAGTTAACGGGTTTAACCTGGTGACATCGAAACCCTGTCATCGTTGGGATGCCGAAAACTTACATTTCCACTTGCTGATAATGAGCATTGACCCGTTCTCGAGGGTTTTTGCCACAGTGCTCTTCGGTAAACACTGCCTTGGGAGGATTTACATGTATTTAAATATTGTTCTTCTTTCTTCCTTCCTCTCGCCCTCACCCCCCATCTGGAAAGAATTATTCTGCAAGTCAAATGACAATCACTTGACTCACACAGAACAACACGAAACCAAGACTGTCAGTAGGTTCGTACCACATCCTTCGGGGGTTTAGTTTAGTTTCACAGAGCGAAACATCTGAAGGCTTTCATAATTTGACAGATAACTTGAAATTAGCCACGCCACAAACGCAGCAGGGGAGACGCCGTTTCCAACAACGCTTAACTGAGGTGGTGGCTTGTTTTTCCTATGCTCTGGAAGAAAAACCTCATTATATGCAGAAATAAAATGTGCTATTTTTAAGCGTATTTAAGTATTCAGCTATTTTTAGATTCCCCCCCCCCCCCTTTCCTAGAACAGCATTATGCAAAAATCAATAGATAAGAGATTACCTTGTTCTAGAAGACATGGCACACCAGTCAGAGAGACATGGCTGACACTATTCTAGATGTAAATTTGGAACTTTAAACTCATTCTATGGTGTTTCCTTACACGGTCTCCAAAACAAATAAATGAACCGCTGCTTTTGTGTGCTGTCCCCACCACTTTGGTTTTTTTTAACTATAATTTTTATTTAAATAAGACACAGGAACTTCTATACCGAAAAAAAAAATACAAAACAAAAGCCACACATTTCCTTGTGTAAAGCAATATTGTGTGATAACTTGAATACTGTTCAGCACAGTGGCTAGAAATAACAGTACAACTATGTACAAAACTTTAAACAATATTTGACAAATTTCTACAGCTGGATGTAGAATACAATTGAGATAAACAACTGCTGGGAAATTTACATGGCAAAGCACGAGCTTTAACACATTTGGTTCAAACCCTTCAAATCTGCCAAGAACAAATGTGCAATTTCATTAATATTTAGTTTCTCGTGGGAAAAAAAAAACCAAACAGAAAGAACACGTAATGGCATCGCAAGTATTGTACAGAGTTCATCACGGATCTCAAAACCACTCGTCACATCCCCTGGTAACCCAACACCAGTAGCTGAGACTACGATTTCTTATCTGGACGTAACCAGAGCGTAAAAAGGTCATCGTACTGCAATGTTCTAGAAAGAAAAGATATTAAAAGGAATCGATACTTACACCACGAGTATTTTCTCCCCTTTATCTTCAGTCTATAAAATATATATAGTGTTTTCACCTAGGCCTGAGAGTAGTAGGGTTAAAGATGGCTGTTGCGTTTCAAGGAGGTTTTTTCACACGAGGGTGGGTAGAGGCAGACCTCTCTCTCCTTCCGCACGGGGAGGCAAAGCCCAGTGACGCTCCTAGGCTGCAAATCCCACCTGGTAAGGGAGCCTCCACACAAACTCGGCACTAAAAGGGAAACGAAGCTCTACCTCCAAAGAAAGCACGCGTGCAGTGAGCAGTTAGTGGTGGCTCGCTCTCACCCCCCTCCAATCTCATCTTCCAGAGCCACCACGGAGCAAGTTTAAATGCTCAGTAGCTGCAGGCTCCCACTCTCTTCAATTCCTGGAAAAGGTGAACCTCGCTCCCTCAGGAGCAGGCAGCATAAACGTAGTTCCACCGAGCTGAAAGCAACGGGGGCGAGAACATCGAGTTTATTTTGCCTTTGGGGTCCTCTGTGCATCGCAGGGAATTCCCTCGGAGAGCACCGCTCCCTCGCTCCGGCACAGCCGAGCGGAGCTCAACCGCTCCCGCCGTGGGCTCTCTCGAGCCAGCGTCCAGCCTGCGACCCCGGGATTATTTTACAAGGATTCTTTTCATTATTCACACTTAAGGAGGGGGGAAAAATGCACTTGTACACACACAACTTAAGGAACTGAAAGTTATGGGAGAAGCTTTGATTAACATGAACTTAAAACTACTGTTTTCCCCACCCCTCTTAGAACACCCACGTGCTACTTTCGGACTTTAATCCAAACACAATTACTCACTACACAAATAAAACGCTGCTCACCTAACACTGCTCGACAAAACCTGGAAAAAAAAAACCCCAACCTATTTCCAACCGGCAAATGAATGAGCATTTCCAAAAGAGAAACTAAACATTAATTTGACTTTTTAGACGGTAACAGTAGCATTTCACATCCTTAACTGCCAACAAAAACAGGAGAGGAAATCCCCATCACCCCCTGTGAAACCTGAAAGAATTTCTGACCTTGAACAAAAACATTCTTGTCCTTCAAAATCCTCTCACACACACGACGACGTGGAATGTTTCTCATGTACAGCCTAGTACTGAACACTTTATTTGCAACAGTTTAACAGTCATTAACTGAGCAACACCTGAAACCTTTAAATGCCACATTTTTACATAAATTGAAATGACAGTAAATGCAACAGTTGTTTTACTCCTAAGCACGTGACAAAGTGATATACATCACAGATTTGCTGGTTCTCCTCATGTTCACCCACGTCCAGGATCGTCGTTCGCCTGGATCTGAATGCACTTATTCCAAGGAAGTGGAATGTAATGAGGAAATATTAATGCATAAAACAAGGAAAGGCAAAAGAGTGATGTTCCCTCTTTAGCTTTGTAGCTGTAAAATATTTTCTATCCCAATATGATATACATTCCAAGTTACCTGAGTTTACACTTCGAGAGAAGTACCTGAAGCTAGGCCATAGGGTGGGCACTGTGCAACTGTTGTGGCCATTATTTTTTTTTTCTTTCTTTTTTTTCTTTCTTTTTTTTTCTTTTTCTTTTTTTTTTTTTTTGCATTGTGTGTATTACAGAAGTTAGAAACAAACACCTGGATCAATTGTAAACATAATCCTGAAGTACAGTATTTTCCATAGGACACAACACAGCAAGACATTTTCTATTCAGACAGGCAACTTTTTTTTTTATATATATATAGAGCTTATTTATACTGTAGAATCTGAAACAGAACACAGGACACAGTACTAATCTGGTCAAACATACTATGAAATGCATAGTCTCCACTTAAAACGCTCAATGATATTATGGGTTCTGCAGGCATCACCGCTTTCTCACCAAAAAAAAAAAAATGCCGAATATGAACTCTGTCCCTGCCGAGAACGGCGTCTGGGATATTCTTCCGAGCGCTGCCAAGTATCCCGTGTCGTTCTGAAAGGTTCCCACCTCAGGCGGATGGATCTGAACGATCACCTCCTCGATCCTCGTCTCAGGGCAGAGGCCTGCTCCGCCTCGGTCTAGATGAAGACGTAGCTCTGAGGAGAGGGATGGTCTTCGGTCTGGAGTTCTTGCAAAAGCGGCGGCTGCGGTGGGGACGGTTGCTGTACCGGGACCTCGGGAGAGTCCATTGTGCTGGTGTCATCTGACAGAGAGGAGAAGGAGACCCGAGAGGAAAGCTGCTCGACAGTCAGGGCGCTCAAAGCTGCGCTTTGACCCGAGTTGGGAGAGTTCTTCAGCGTCAGGTCGGAAGCGGGAAGGAGGGGGCCCAGAAGTTTTACAGGACAGAAAGCTGATCCGGTTGGGATGAAATTAACCTTGTTTTTGTCAGGACATGAAAAGAGAGGGGCTGAGACAGGCTGACGAGACCTACAACAAGAAAGAAAGATTATCCACCCGGCCCACCGAGGCGTCCTACACGTCATGACCTTCGCGGTTCTACACGTCGCTAAAATGTGAATGACGAGGAATGGGATTAATTGGACAGAGGGGCAAACATCTTCCATATTGGCAGTCAGCTAACTGATCCACAGCATCAAAAACAGCACCGTCACAAAAAGGACTTGGTCATTACTGGACAAACATGCAACTTCCAGCAAGAAAAATCTGCAGTACAGATGCACAGGGGGGAAAAAAACCCAAAAAATAATGCCGCGGTAATTTAGACTGGCACAAGCTCTTCTTTAATAAAAACAAGGCAGCACCACCACGTTTGGTCAGAGTAAATCCCTTTGAGAACCTCCACGAAAGAGACCTCTCCTTTCCCCATCGTCCGTAATTTGCCTGGGGGCTTCCTCCACAACCCAACACCGCTCCTCCGCCCTCCAGCAGGCCACGAACGCTGTCAGAGCAAGAAGCGTCCCCTCCTCAATTCCTTCACCCGCGGGAGCTAAGCATGCAACCTCGACAGCGCGTGCTCAGACACGGCTGGGTCTAGGGGAACGAGATGGGACGTCCGAGAGTTTCATTTCTGACGTCTTGCTCGGCAAAAATATCGAGCAAAGCGTATGCCATAAGTCTGCTACCGTCCACAAACCCTCTGCACCGGTTTCATTCCATTTTGTGTGTTTTACACGGATCAAAACGCAGCCTGGGCTTGAAACTGATGAAGAATTACGACAAGGAGAGTTTTTGCCTTAAGCCACGAACGCTTAAAAAGTTAATAAAAACATACGGGAAGAGGTTTACAAATGCTTAGGAAATTAGATGTACCTTATCTTTTCTGCTTGGGTTTTTGTTGCCTTTTATAAATGCACAAAAAAAGAGAGTTCAAGCATAAAAGACTCCATTTCCTCTTCAAACCACCGTGAACACTTCAACTTCTCTTCTGTACAAACTCTAAGAATAGTTTGCTCCTGAAAAAACTCATCAGCTGGAATAGTTTATTCATCTGCAGTTGGATAGGCTCAGTAAACAGGGTTACTGCTTTGCAGATACCAGCTGATATAAAAGGCATTACTTACGACATTTCCTCAAAGACCTTCACTCGCTCACATCCCTCTGGGGGCTCTCGTTTGAACATGTAGCTGTTGTTTGGTTTGGGAGATGAGGCATACTTGGGCAACGGTGAGCTACTCCCACTGTCTGAAAATTTAAAGCAGTTATATTACTAGAGATTGAGAGTGCTTTTTAATTAAATTTGATTTCCAAACAAGATGCCTTTTTTTTTTTTTTTTTTCCACAATTTAGCCACGATGCCGGTTTGCTTCTACCACAAGGCTTCCTTTATGGCAGGCTATTTCTAACACCCTTGCATAGCACATTTCTTCTGAATAAAAGCTTCAGCGCAGCAGCAATCTATCATACAACAACACAGAACAGGAGGGTATTTTTATCCAGAACGCTGCAATCGGAACAAAGCAGAGCTGTGATCCTGGAAACAAACACGTTCTTTATTATGTACCTCAAAAAAAACATCAATGAACAAGGTAATATGCATAATGCATGCAGAAGAGTTACGAGTGGTAATGGTAATACACCTTCTCACTGTATAGGCAGTTATCACAAATGGGTGTATACAGCATGTATCTTGTTTTAAAACATAATTCTTCACTGGAGCATCGACCTCGTTACCCTCATGAATAGTTCAGAAGCTGAGAAGAAACAGAGCACGGGTGCAACACGGGTGCCGACACCTCGTCGTCACGGGGTCCGACCTCACCCGCTTCGCAACCGCGAAGTTGTTTTAGTATCCACAGTAAAACCTCCTCGAGTCAATTCTCCCATCACCCCTCGCCCCACGATACAGGTATTCTCCCTAGCTCTAGCTGGTCTGCGCGTTATTTCACTAGACGCACTTAGAACCAAGGTGTGAAGATCCAGGGAGCAGATTTCTTGGAAAAGGAAGAGAGCGCAAGCGCGCCTCGGAGAAGGCTCGACTCCAGCAATGACAGGAGCAGGAGTGTTTGAGAAGGGAAGACTATGGAAGGGTTCGCTTTAGCCCCTCATCTCGGCAACGCGATATTCAGTGCATTAAGGAAATCAAGTAGGTACAACCGTGATTGCTCACGGACAATTAGGTTCCTGCAGTGGCTTCCACCTTTTCAAAACAGCAACATCTATTCTCATCAGGCTAGTGGTAGTGGCTCCCTGCCCTCTGCTTGGGCTTAGAATTAAAGACAGTGAAACGGCAAGGTTAAAGAGGATCCCCCCGACTTAGAAACCCACCTTATCCGGGGAGAAAAACCTGCTCTTGCTTCATCTCCTTTTGAGCCCTCCCGCCGACCCGGGGTCCCTCACCATTCCTAACTCGGACACCTTTCTTGGCAACTGCTGCTGTCCACGTGTGCCCTGTCGGCAACAGCGGAAAAATGACCAAAGCTTCAAGCACCACGAGGCAGATTCCCTGAAGCACACACGAGGTTGTCTTTTACAGCTTGCAAACAGGACCTACATAAACTTCTGCATAACCATGACTCAAATACGCAGCTCATCGTCGGGGGTTTTGAAACATCTCTGCTTCCTCTTACAAGGCACAAACCCGCTCAAGTGTCACACTTCCCTTTGGAGAGTCACTATGAAATATAGCGGGGGGGGGGAAACCAAACCCCAAGCCAGTCAAAGTGAACCTCAGCAGCGTGTTGATTATTCAGCGCTTTCCTGCTGCAGAGCGAACACAGAACTGCCATTTACAGAACTTCAGGTATTAACCCTACGCAGGCAGAAAAAGCTCAGAGACAATACAGGGGTTTGCCAAGCTGGGAGCACGATGGTCCTGTTGGCACCTTCCCACTGCTGGCCCACGCAGCTCATTCCAAACACAGAAATCATTAACAGAACCCAGACAGTTCGCTTCCTCCTCCTAATATTGAAAACTGAAGATCCAAGTTTCTACTTAAAAAAAAAATAAAATCTGAGACATAAAACGTGCTACTGTTCACTCCACCAAATAGCAGGGAACTGCGGAAGCACATCCAAGGGAAGAATCGAAGCGAATTCAAAGTTAAGTCAGTTCTTGGAAGATTTAGAGTCCTGTCTAGCCAGTTCAGTTTTCAATCAAGTTTTGGGTTTATTTAGCCCTGTCTGGCTGAAACTTTCTACGTAAGACAGCTGTTAAACCAGTAAAAAACCTGCACTGTATAATTTAACCGTTCTGCTTCTCTTTTTACCCTCCCTGCTTTTAAAGCTTCCTAAGCTGGTAGCTCTTCATTCTGACCGAACTCACACCAACGAGCATTCGAAAGACCCGTGTGGTTATGAGGCGGCTCACACGTACCAGCTCGGTGTCGGCTCCACGCGTGCAGCAGCGGTATGAGAACAGAAGGGTACTGGGAAAGCAGGCCGCGAGTTAACGTGGCAAGAGGTGGAATTCACAGCTCAGGGCAGCCTCCTCTTGCACATCCTGTAAGCTCTCAAGTGCTAAACTGTCACCTTATTCATCCTGAACGGCCCCGCAAGCGTGTGCTCTCAAACCGTGCTGTTCACACAGGTTCTTACCGCCTCGGAGGCTGCAAAGCGCGAGCCTTCGTGTCAAGAGGACGCGGCTGCATCTTCCAGGCTCCCACCAGAAGGGTGTGCTCTGCTGGCGTATTTCAGCCCACTAATCACATTTCATTAAGATGACAATGATTGAAGATTAACAGATGTAACCTTTAAAGTGAGTTTTGTTACCATAACCACAGAGCAGACAATACGGAGCCTTATTACACAGAATTCCTAAACATAAATATTCGAAATGGATATATTCTGTTGTCTAGAAAACGTTTAAGGCTGCAATGAAACACAAAAAAAAAATCACACTATTTTAACCAGAAGACTTGATACCACCAAGTTCAGCTCGCATATATTGGAGCAACAAAGGAGGCAAACTGAAAAAAGGATCTGTAAAACAAATTTTGGAGTGACAAAACTTAAAGGGAACAAGAAGCTTCGCCAGTGAGCCTAGGGATTTGGTTTGATAGGTTCAAAAAAAAAAACCTTTGCTCCTTGAGACTGTTTCAAAGACTTCATTTTAAAACCTACGCATTGGCTGCTCGGAAGTTAGACGGTATCTTCAGTTCATCTTCATCAACACGTTGCTTGTACCAGCCTGCTGGCAGCAGTGGGAATGCACAACGCTGCACAAAATCCCTGGAAAACAGGTTATACTACCTGGGTTTTTTTTTTTTGTACAAAAGCCCCTCAAATTGCATCTGCTTACACCTTCGGGTGCCTCAGCACCTCACCTCTGCCTCAGCTGCCAGGCGCGCTCTGCAGCGCTCCGAATTGCAGCCTCGTGGGCCAGAGCATTGTCAACAGACCCAGGGAGGCTGGTGGCTGCTCAGCAGCGAGGCAGGGACTCGCCTTGCAGCAGGCTGGCGTTTGAAATCAAGGTCACAAAGCCAGGTGCCACCAAGGTGCCTCCTCTCCCACCCTCCCCCTCGCTGCTCCGGCCAACACCGTTGAGGGTCACCGCTGCATCCGAGCGGCGGTTGCGGCCTCTTCTGAAATTCAGCTTTCTTTCGAAAAAATTCAATAGATTGAGCAGTTTTTCTTGCAGAAAGGGAAACCAAACAGCTGACACAGTCCGAAGAGCAGCTGTGAGGGCCTCAGGCCAAAGCAGAGCTTCGCACAAGAAACGAGAGATGCTTTGGAAATGGAAAGCAGCGCTGCGTCTGTACAGGGCGCTGGCTCCTCGCGCTGCTCACGTCTCTCAAACTACTGACCTTCCTTTTCCTATTCAGCAACACACTCCGGAGCATTCACAAAGCTGACAATTACGGTTTTTAATGGTAAAGCCAAGTCATTCCCATTGAGAGGAAAATAAAACCTCGGCTTGTGAAAAGTAACAGAAAAACACCTTGGGTTTAAAACGTCTACGTTTGGTTAGACACTGCGCTTTTCAGAACTGAACAGGCCTCACGGCGAACTCACGACAGCTCCATTCTCGCCTCGCAGAAACCTCCAAAATGAAGGTGTGAAAAACTTCAGGAGTCTTGTTTTACAAAGCAGTTACCATCCACAAAGGATGTTAATAAACTGCCTCTCAAAACTTGCTGTTCCCTAATAATTCCTACCTACATCCCTCACTCATCTGTAACTGAACTACTCTGAAGAGAACCTTCTTATTCAACAACTGGCCCGCGGGGTCTTAACCATGCGAGGCCAAAAGGCGCCTTTCTGACTGCACCTTCACAGCCTCTGAACAAATTGCTTTCTCTTGGAAAACAGCTACGCACTCTTCTGGTTTCTCCCTCTTCCTTAAAGAGCGAAGTTGTGATGAGCAGTTCAAGCTTTTATCTTTCCTAAGCACAGTTATTAAGCACCTTAAACTAATCTAAAAAAGCAATTATATTAACGTTACAAAGCTGGCAGTCTATCACCATCACCTCTACGCTACTTGCGATGCAATCCCAGCGTTAAAGCCAGTCAAAACCAAAATCCACGAGCAAGTATCTCCTCATTGCGATGTTCAGCAATAAACTTTACCTCAATTAGCTGTTCAAAATATCCAAGACGGGAGATAAAAAGCCCTTGCAAAGCATTCCAGAAGGTTAGATGTGCTCTTTCAAACTGTCTTCGCTCACTATTGCCGATGAAGTACCACTGGAAATTCCAGTGACTGTGATAATCGAGTGCTAGCTGCAACAGGCATTATTCTTTTCATTCCCTCGCTTTTTAACTTGTATTTGTTATGGGGACACATGAACAAATTTACCTGTCAAGAGGTTTCCTGCTGTGCTAAGACTTTCGGGGCTGTCTCTACAGCGATTCACTCTTGACAACACAGTCACAGAAAGAGAATTAGGGTGGGGGGGAGCCAATATCTCTTATTTTTGGAGCACGGCCAGCCCTCACGTTGAGCTAAGACTTCTGCTGTGTTGTGGTTACCTCACACACGTGCACACACCCAGCCCCAGTTCAGGATTTGGGCAGGTGGGTTGGTTGTCTGCCACCTCCTTTGAAACCCAAGATGGGAAAGCAGTACTTCTCAGAAACCACCAAAAGCTAGTATTTCTCCCGCTGCCTCACCCAGTCTTATTCCCAATTTAAGAATTATTAAACAGAGAATATTTACAGAAAAAGCTTAACTTTACTTACAACCTCAGAATACTGCTGCCCTGAGCTCGTGAGTAAATCTACGCTAAAGCTTAAGAGTTTTCCTTTCCTCTGTGAAAATCACTACTCTCAGCTTGCATGTTTTACCCAAACCCTGCACCCCTCCAAACTGAAGTCCATTTTTTCCAGCTAGCTGGACCAGAAGCTCAAGAATAATTTTCTTAGTAAATAGTTGTCCAAAAAAAACATCAGTCTTTTTGCACTGCTGCCCGCATTTTCGTACTACGTGTTCTGTCAGTAACTCTTAGTTACCAAAACTCCAGTTTTACTCCTTCTACAAAACTAAATGACATTTTACAGACTTTGGGGGGGGGGGGGAAGGCAGGACATTGACATATAAACACATAAATTATTCAGAATTTTGGGGTTGTTAAGCAACATACACAGACAAGCAATTCTCTCCATCAGACTGTTCAAGCTCCTTTCTGAGCTCCTCACCAAACAGCTTCAACTGCAATGTAAGAGTTCAGAAGCAGAGTACTTTTAAAAGCAGTCCAAAACGTCACCATCACCATTTTGATCAGCAAATAACTCACCCACGATGAATACACAGTCTACCAGAAACCTTCTTGAAACCTTTTTTTAAAACACGAACAAGTCACAGTCTGAATTCTTCACATTAGGATCTTCGTAAATAGTTAAGACTGTTTGCTGTGCTCCTCTGACGTATTTATGGAAGATGTTTGTGAAGTTTCACAAACAAGAGGGAAAAAAGATATGTAAACAAACAAAACCCATTTCAAGATAAATCCTCAATCCCTCCACAACCATCAAACAAAAACAAAAAAACTGATGTAATGAGTAAAATGAAGGTAGTTGTAAAAGCAGGACACCACATGCCTCCCATAGGTAACGGCGGGCCATTCTACTCTCACCTTTATCACGGTCATAGAGTAAATCTTCTGTGGAGCAAGGGCTCCCATCCTGAGATTCAGGAGGGCAAAAGGGAGAGACACACGGTGAGTGACTGCTGCAGCTGCTGCTGCGCTCCTGGACCGACGGAGTCTGAGTGTCGATGCTTCGGGTACTACTACTACGGTAGTGAGCAGGTAACGGGGCCCTTCGACCGTCAGGGATGTCCAGAGGCTGCAAGAGAAACAAGCAAGTCAGGTTACAGAGGGAAGATCAACCTCCTGAGCAACGCCGGCCAGGAACTGAAGCAAGGAGGCAAGGTCTTCGGAGCAGCAAACAAGCTATTTTGGAAAGAACCACCAGAAAAACCAGGCAACGCGCAGCGGACACATCACAGACGAATTACGCCGAGCGCTGGGGCAACGTGCGGGCGTTCCCAGCCAACGACACCCTCTTCGTGCAAAGTTAACACCAGAACGCACTTGAACACGTGCTAGTATTGTGGTTTTCTGGGTTTTTTTAATGATAGTTTGAAAAAGCAAACCTCCCTAAATAGCCCTCTAATTATACTCAGTGTCATACCCAGTATAGGTCATTGTTATCACAAAAGGGAAACAAGTGACAGAGGTCCCTTTTGGACACAAGAAAGCAGAAAACACCAAATACGACGGGGCACGCTGTTATCGTAACAACCAACCGACTTGCAATTATAAATTAAACCATCCAGGTTTTCCCAGGAAAAGTCCTTGATGCCCTGGCACACACCTTCCACATTCCATCCTTCACTTTTATAGGGCGACCTCTGACAACAAAACGCCAACCAAGGCGATGGTGCGCAGACTCACACCAGTCTCACGAGGTTCCCCTCGAAGCAAAGCCAGTAAAGCCCTGCCTGCTCACACCAGCCTCGTGGGCACCGGCCAGAGCGATCCTGCAGCCCGTTCTGCAATGCGCCGCGTACACGTCTTCACGGGAGGAGGACTGGAACGCTCCGCTTGTCCTTCCCACGGGAAAATTCCTTTTATCAGACGGACAGCGCTGCTTTAGATGTAAGAAATCAAAATGAGAATTACAGTTTTGCTTAAAAGGGAAGGGGGGAAAAAAAATGCCTGCGAGATTTAAGTATCTCTGTCCGCCTCACTTCAGCGAGGGCTGAGTCCAAGCCACGGAGAACAGCTTCGATGCTCTAGCTCCAAAAAAATAAATGACTTCTTCCTTCTCACTTCAAGTGAGCACTTTTATTTCATTGCTTTCCTCTTCCCCATATATTCCGAAAGTGTAACAGCTCGTTCCAGAGCCTAAAATTCAACCCAACCCTTTTGCTAGCAAGGAGGACACGAAACCTACCGGCCGAGCGTCATGTTCTCCCCTTTTCAGCAACAGCCTACCCAGAAAACCACCGCGTGCTGTACGGAGAGGCGGCCAGCAGAGCAGGAAGAGCCTCTTCTTCTGCCGAGCCTTCCCGTTAATACCATTTCACACCCCAATTAAGAGCGAAGAAACATGTTGTAAGAACATTGCAGTTGCTACATCAACCGCTGCAAAGGTTGGACTGCGCCTCGCTGCTCCCATCGCCCCCGACGGGCCGCGACTCGTTCCGTGCACCAGGCAGACCTGGAGCACGATGTCATCGGTGACGCAGACAGAAGAGAGGTAGAAAACAAGACTGAAGCTGCAGAAAGAAAACAGGCTCTTACTTAACATCCCCGCCAGGCAGAGCAGCGTTTTTATTTCCGTCTCTGCCACAAAAACTCTTTGCGAGACGCCAGGAAGCCACCGGAGCCACCACTCTTTTACGGTTCTGTTCCTAGGTGCCCAGTCTATACAGGATTGATTTGCAAAAGTCTTCAGCGTTCAGAGGTGCAGAAGGGACCACGGGAGCTGCACTAAACCAGCACGCAGCATCCTAAGTCACCTGAAGAACCACACAATAGGAGCCTGATGGATTTGTGTTTCTCCACCCATAAAGTGCAGAAACTATCATCTTCCTTCTCACCCAGGTGTGGCAAAAAGAGAGCACAACCTCAGGCACTCCCCTATCATACAGAAGCAAAAACTCAGGAAGAAATTCAGATTTCTGACTTCAAAGCAAGGTGTCACAGTGAGCATTAGGGCACACAGCTAATGAGGCGAAAACAAACCCACCCAGCCGTGGCTCAGTAAGTGCACATACTGTGCTCTGCCTAACAGGTAAAGCCAGGATGCCCGAGCAGGGAAAAGAACAGCTAAAGACTCTGGGATAACCCAGATGTTCTTCCACACCTAGAGGAACAACGTAGTCTTATGTAGTCAGGAAGTATATCCCAAATTACATATTTCCACCCTCCACTAAATTAAAATGTGAGGTACAAAGACTTAACCCTTGTTTTTAGACATGCCTCTCAATAGACACACAAGTAGAAAAAGCTAAATATTCACCTCTCTTTCCAAGTAAAATAACTGTTAAGGCACAGCAAATGCCCACAAGCATTTCAGATTACTGTGCTCCTGTATTTATCTTTCCCTTAATACTGAATCCCAAGTTTCGACAAGTGCAAAAAAACTTCATGAAAATATCAACTAGAAGGATTCCACTTTTTAAAAACTTTATGTATTAAACCCGATCAACATAAAAAAATACTTTAGAAGCTACTTTCCATGAGACATGCCTGAACTATTTTAAAAACTGACGTCCTCACAACCTTAGAACATAAGAATCACACAATCACAGAGTGGTTTGGGTTGGAAGGGACC